TCAAGTTTCGAGGAAAAGCAACAATTCAAGTGTTGGTAATCAGGAGCCCACCTAAAGAACAAAATAACAAGTCAAGTGTTGCTAATTAGGAGCCCACCTGAAGAACAAAGCAACAAGTCAAGTGTCGGTAATCAGGAGCCCACCTGAAGAACAAAGCAGCAATTCAAGTGTTGGTAATCAGGAGCCCACCTGAAGAACAAAACAGCAATTTAAATGTTAGCAATCAGGCGCCTACTTGGAGAATAAGGGAATTCACTACAGAACGCAAATCAAGTCAGCAACAAAAGAAGCTCTCGGCAAGAATGCGAGTCAACAGTCCGAGATGATCAACAGAAGTTAGTCACAATAAAGAAAAAAAGAAAGGCAAGAAGTTAATCCAAAGGCAAAAGTTGATGAAAGATGTGGGCTGCTCAAGACATGGCCGAGGTCACAAGCACTACATGCCTGGTCTTGATCCGAAAAGCTGAAGAAGGATGAACTAGCACCTGCAACTAGTAAGCGTCAAGGTTCAAATCTAAAGTCTGCATTAAGAACCACTCAAGACTCAAGATCAAGCTTCAGAAGACTTATAGATAGGAATCTTGTTACTCGTAGTTGACGGACTTAGCTAGTCTTTTTGATGTTTTGATTTTTGATGTAATAATAGGACCGCGGACCGGAACCTCGACAGAACGGCACCTCGACCGGCTCTCCACCTCGGCATACTCCATCATCTCACTCACTTCTGAACTACACATGGCCTGATTCCTTTATAGCCAAGGATATGTAGGCAGCTCAGAGACCAAGGCTCGATCACATTCTCATTTCTCTTAGTTTTTGGTCCCTGTAAATAAGGGTCGGGTCAAAAACACCTGTCTAGTCGATCTTTGTCTGATAATACTTCGTCTTTCTAGTCAAAGAGGGGCAGCTGTAGACATGTGATTTTTGACCCTCCCCAAGATTTTTCATATTTTAGCACGTAAATATTTAATTTCAGCCTAATATAGCTATTTCAACTCATTTTTACTCTTTTACTTTTATTTTATTACAAGAACACGAAAATTACAAAAAATAGGTTCATTAAATGTTTTGTAGTCATTTTTAATCTTGAAAAAATACCAAAAAATAGTTTTGTTTTAATGGTCAGTCTTATTTTAATAATTATATTTACTTAAGTAGAGCTAATTAATATTTTTGATAATACTTTTAGTTAATTAAGCTAATTTTAAACATAACTAGTCATAAAGGCCCAAGTTCCTAGCCCGTTCCTTAATCTCAATATCCAATACCCATTAAGCTAATCCTAGGGACCCTTCTAGACTCTTCTTTGGAACAAAAAACAAATAAAAAGACCTTAAGGACTTAACACAAAAAGACCTAGGGACTAGTTGGCAAAATACACAAAAAATACATATTAGACTTAGACCTATACATAGGGGAAGTAAGGCCTAAAAGAAGGGGGACACACAAAAATACGCCTAAAAAAATCAAAAGAAAGAGGCATCTGAAAGGGCTGACAGCCGCAGACAAAAGAACCCCCCCCCCCCCCCCCCTCCGAAACTTCGTCTTCCCCACCGAGCTTCACCATAAAAGCCGATGTTCACTTCTAAATTTTCGGCCATGAAAGGCAGCTAAACCATCTCCAAAAACGCACCAAAACGACCTCCAACGCCATCCAATTTCATCTCCAAAAACAAGCTGAACACTGCCCATAAACCAACCCTTAAATCATCTCAAAAACAGCTATAAAAATGTCAAAAAATAGTCCAAAAATCAGCTCGTTTTTCAGCAAAAATCTGCTGTAAAATCAGTTGAAAAACAGCATCAAGCAGTCCCGAAATCAGCTCCAAACACAGTCAATGAAGCGGCCTTGAAACACTCTTAAAAATCTAAGAAACATGCATGAAAATCAGCCAAAATCGCGGCTGAAATTGCTGCAAAAACGCAGCAGCACTTACCCATTAAAACTCACGAGTTTCAGTCGAGGGAGAAGTTTGTTGTTTCGTTTCTACTGATGCTCCGATCCGCGGGCGAGTTTGACCAATCTTTCTTACTTATAATTCAACACTCGGAGGTCCTTTATTAACAAATTGAAAAGTTCTGCCCAACAGAGGTCACTTTCTTATTTGATTCATTTTTGGTTTAATATAATGTGTTTGCTTAGTCTTTTTGTGCTCTATCTTGTTTGAATGCCTTTGATAGCTTATCAAATTGTTTAGTTGCCTGTGTTTTGTCCAAGAGCATTACTACAAATTGTATGAGTTAAGATTTATATTCATATGTTTACTTGATGGGTGGACATTACTGATTTGCATATTTCATCGCCACTTTGAATTTCTCTTTTAGATAAATAACTATGAAAGAAAAAAATGAAAGTATAAAGGGATTTCGGGTAAACTCTAATCAAATAGGCTTTTGGTTGTTTTGTTTTTCTTCTTCTTTTTCTTATTGTGTTAGCATATAGTTCTGGCTTAATCATTGTACACGTATGTCCTAAAAGCTAAAAATGGAAAATATTTGAAGACGGGTAGTAGTTGTGTTGGTTGGGCCTTGTGATTTTATGGTGTATCAAGTAACGTTAATGGGCCATATATTTGTGCTAATTTTTCTTTTGTAATTCCTAACCTTCAAATAACCTCAAACTTAGGAAAATAAACACTTATGAACATTAGTAGGATGCCTTAGGCGCGTTTTAATTTATTATCGTGATTGTGGATACGTTTGCGTGACATAATTACGATTCCTTAAGGATAGATCAAGGCGTGCCATTTAGTTGAACTTTCATGGCCCTCGCAAATTAAAAAAAAATTGTGTAATTTAAATTGCCTTCCTAAACTAAGGTGTGCATTTATGTGACCCAAATCTAAATCTCAACAACGTCAAGTAAAACGTGTCATGTACCGCATGTGCATTTATGTGACGTGGTTCAAGATGTGCTTTTGACGACATTGAATCTTTCTAAAAATAATTAATTAAAGCGGTTATAAAGTTAAAATTGAACCATAGGTTAAAACATGTATTAAAATCAAGTAAATAGGCCAAATATAACAGTTGAGCGACCGTGCTAGAACCACGAAATCCGGGAATGCCTAACACCTTCTCCCGAGTTAACAGAATTCCTTACCCGGATTTCTGTGTTCGCAGGCTATAAAACAGAGTCAATTTTTCCTCGATTCAGGATTTGAACCGGTAACTTGGGACACCATAAAATTATCCCAAGTGGAGACTCTGAATTTATTAAATAAATAAATAAATCTCATTTCGATTGTCACTTTAAGTTGGAAAAAACTCCCCTTATACCCCTTGCAGGGTGTAGGAAAAAGGAGGTGTGACAATGGCGTCGGACACTACTATCAGGCAAGCCAACCAAAATACTTAATTAAATTCTCATTTACACAATTGCGAAAAACTCTGATTTTTTTCTTCAATTTTTACTAGTAAAAGATAATCAGTTCAAATTAAATATAAATGTCAAGAAGTCAATACAAAATACCCCATAACTATCCCAGAACCCGGTGTCACAAGTGCATGAGCTATTTCTAGGAAGCAATACAATACAACAACTGTCCAGAATACAAATTGGACAGAAAATAAATACAATAATCTGGAAGAGACCGTGTTGGATACGGGTCGCCTCGATAAATGCAGCTCACCTAAGTCTCCATATCAACCATGCCGCTATGCCACTAAGCCACTAGCCACATCTGAAACTGTGCAACAAAAATGCACAGCAAGTGTTGTATGAGTACGAAAACAACGTGTACCCAATGAGTATCCCGTCTAATCTCGAAGAAGTAGAGACGAGAGGTCGACTTCATCACTTGCTAGTGGTCCAATAATAATATTATTAATGCAATGAATCACGGATTTATTAAGAACAACATTAAATTCAAATAAGTCACGAAACAGGTAAAAGTTCCTTTTTATTTAAAAGTCTCTGAATTCATAACCCATTCATTAACAATTATCTCAAGTCGGGGAGAGCAAATATCAATATCAATAAATCTCCAGGCAAGCAATACAAGCATGCACAAATCATGTCGAGGTAGTACGACCCGATCCAACATAAATGTAAAATGTGCACTGTCGAGGGTCGAGCGGNATAGGATTTAAGCAATTCAACTGCCAACAAGATTACAGATATTCCAAGTATAGCATGTTTTTGGATCCTAGACTACCCGAACTTACACATAATAGTAGCTACGCACGGACTCTCGTCACCTCGTGCATACGTATCCCCCACAAATAGGAGAACATAACCAATCACATCACATATCGGGAAAATTCCCTCTTACAAGGTTAGAAAGGAGACTCATCTCGCTCCGAAGATCCATAACCGGCATTCCACGCCCTTCTGAAGACTCGAATCGATGCACAATGCTTCAAAACTAGCCAATAATTATGCAAATCCATTAACATATGTTCAATTACTCATTACAACCTAATTTATAACAATTCCTAACCCCGATCGAAAAGTTAACAAAATTGCCCTCGGGCCCACGTGCCCGGATTCTGAAATTTTTCAAAGATAAAGTTTACCCATGAACTTACAAACTCAAATATATGATTTTCTCTTAATTTCATGTCCAAAATCGTTGTCAAAATTCAAGAATACCAAATTTCTAAGTCTTCCTCAAAAACCCCAAATTTCCATTAATTTCCATGTTAAAACCCATGCGAAATCAATGTATTTAACTCCTATTAAGTGGGGATAACTTACCTTGCCATTGAATGATGAAACCCCCTCTTGAAATCCTCCAAGAATCGCCCAAGCCAAGAGAAAAATGAAAGAAATGGGCCAAATCACGTCTTAAAACAAGTCACTGCCCAGCACTACTCTTCTTTGCGAACGCGGAAATGCCCTCGCGTTCGCGAAGCACAACCTGCTTCAGCCCCAAAATTTCTTCATCGTGTTCGTGACCCTACGCTCGCGTTCACGAAGGCCAGCTCCCCGGACCCTACGCATTCGCATTCCAGGCCTCGCGTTCGCATAGGCCAACAGCCTCAAGCCCCACTCTCATCTTTCCTTCTACGCGTTCGCGATATCTCATACGCGTTCGCGTAGTCAACTCAGCCCACCCCTTCGCGTTCACGATTTCCACTTTGCGTTCGCGAAGGTCAAATCCAGCAGCCTCCCACTTTCCACTTCGCGAACGCGGGACTCCCTTCGCGTTCGCGAAGAAGGAAACCAGATACCAGCAATTAGCAACAACTTTTTATCCAAATTTGATCTGAAACCACCCCGAAACACACCCGAGGCCCCTGGGACCCCGTCCAATCACACAAACCAGTCCCATAACTTAACACAGACCTGTTAGAGGACTCAAATCACATCAAACAACGTCAAAATCATGAATCGTACTCCAATCCAAACTTTATGAACTTTGAAATTTCAAACTTCTACATTCGATGCCGAAACCCGTCAAATCACGTCCGATTAACCTCAAATTGTGCACACAAGTCGTATTCAACATTACAGACCTTCTCCAATTTCCGGAATTAAAATCCGACCCCGATATCAAAAAGTCAACTCTCGGTCAAACTTCCCAAAAACCTTCAAATTTCTATCTTTAGCCAAATGACTCCAAAATGACCTACGGACCTCCGAATTCACTTCTGATCGCACTCCCAATACTAGAATCACCATATGGAGATATTCCCAGACTCGGAATCCCAAACGGACATCGATAACACTGAAATGCACTTCAACCCAAACTTGAGAAATTTCTTCTAAAATGCTAACTTCCACAATAAGCGCCAAAAGGTTCCCAGGTCTTCCAAAACCCGATCCGGACATACGCCCAAGTCCAAAATCATCATACGAACCTATTGGAACCTTCGAATCTCGATTCCGAGGTTGTTTACTCAAAAATCCAACCTTAGCTAATTCTTTCAACTTAAAGCTTCTGAAATGAGAATTCATTTTCCAAATCAACTCCGAATTCCCCGGAATTCAATTCGGACCAAGCGTACAAGTCATAATACCTGAAGTGAAGCTGCTCATGGCCTCAAGCTGCTGAACAACACTCTAGAGCTCAAAACGACTGATAGGGTCGTTACACATACCATCAATATGAACCTCAGTAGGATTCAAGGATCATACATGCTTAGAATAACTTTATAAGGAAAGAACAACATCGGTAACCTTAGTTGCTAGGAGTAGATCCGTTATGAAATAGCGTATTCATTTCATTTTAGATCATGCCAAAAGAAAGAAGGAAGTGCCTTAACATACCTTAACTCCTTTGAGTCCATAGTACATTCTAAGTTATTCTTCAAACAACTCAACTCAATCTACCATAGCATACGGCGATTCAAAATCAGTGTTGTGTAAAGGCTAAGTCCGCAACTTAAACTAGTAGCTCGTTTATGTAAATTTGGTCAGTATCTCCCCTGTAACAAGGGCCTCCTCCAATACCATATACCAACAACAACAAAAACCAGAGAAATCCAGCAACATATAAATATCAATAACAAGACATCATATAGCAACAACAAGTCACAACTACTTCACGACGAGTGGCAAGCTCCAATTGGAATCCGTATACCCCATATCACCCCTTATAGACTTCTTAATTCACCTTAACAATATGATTAACATGATACTGAAGTCATTAATCAATGATTCCAACCTTATACCATATATTTATAACAACGAAAATAATCTACAACTTCAACTATCTTCAATTAGCAACTTTATTCACTAGTTCATGTCTAGTCCATCCATTTAACTTAATCAACATCAAGATAACCTTAGGCACATGAAAGAAAATAATATACATACCTCCTACAGTAGCTTCAAGTTAAAATCCAAGTTATATTTAGCTTACAACATTCCTCAATGGCAATACAACACGATAGAAGTGACTTAAGCTAATCCAAGTATTATCTTGTAGTATCTTTCTCAAATAATGCAACCAACATACAAACAACTTCAAGAGCATGTAGTAGAGTATTATTCATGCCTAAACCAGCAGAAACCACATGAAAATTTAGCCAAACACATCCCACAACTATCCTCAATGACAACACAACCTCAAAGAGGTGTTCTTCTTCACTAGAACTCACTTTTGATGTTGAAATATGGTGTAATCCATTTGCAAGACTTGAAAT